TATTTTCATTCTAAAGGCTCCTGGGTGATGTAGTGGGTTAAGCATTGGGCTGCCAACCTCCAGGTTGGCAGTTCAAACCCACTAGATGCTCTGAAGGAGACAGATGGCTGCAGTGAGGCCAGCCAGGTGACCAGGCTTGTTCAGAGTCACCCTGCATGGGGGTGGAGCGTGTGTGTGTGTGTGTGTGTGTGTGTGTGTGTGTGTGTGTGGTGTATCTCACATCACTGATTCCTGCTTGGCACCTTTCCACAGGGCGAGAGGCTGAGCCACGCAGTGGGCTGTGCCTTCGCTGCCTGCCTAGAACGAAAACAGAGGCGGGAGAAGGAATGTGGGGTCACAGCCGCCTTCGATGCCAGCCGCACCAGCTTCTCCCGCGAGGGCTCCTTCCGTCTCTCTGGAGGTGGGCGGCCCGCTGAGCGTGAGGCCTCAGATAAAAAGAAAGGTGGGTGCTGCCCGGAGGAGGGGGTGCTGGGCCTGAGTAGGTGGCCCCGGGGATCCATTTTTGGGGTGGGGGTGAGCTGCAGGGGAATAGGGACCCCTACCTGTACAGCAGGGCATGACTTCACGGTTCTGCTACCTCCTGTACAACACGTTACAGTTTGGGGAGTCTTTGCGGAATAGCACCCGGATCTCAAATCTCCAAGCACTTGTTGAGTCCAAGAGGGTCTTGGGATTTCCAAACCATGTGGGGAGTCTCCGTAGGTGGTGTTAAGGTGGGAGGGGTCCAAGAGTAGGGGTGGCATAAGTGGTTTACTGGGGGTTCGGACCCGCCCAGTAGCTCCTTGAAGGAGAGGCTTGGTGATTTGCTTCTGGAAAGATCCGTGTTGTGCGATCCCATCTAGTCAGCGCCCCCCCCCCCGCTCAAAGGACAAGGGTAAAACGGCTCCGTGGTGGGGAGGGGGGCTGTTTCTGTTTTAAAGGTTTGATTGTGAGTTTGGGTGCAAGTGTTCCAAAGCAGCTCATTGGTTTGACAGTCAACAGGCCATCTGTTGTCAGCTCCTCACTGACTGCCCTTCCCCCTGGTGTTTCCAGTTTCCGTTCCTCCCTTTTCCCAACCCTTCTGAGCGCCATCCTTGGGTGCCCTTGCCCTTTAGATCTCAAATGGCTGGTTCTCCTACAGAGCGCGCGCCTCCCTAGTGCCAGTGCCCCCCTTGTAGACCTGCCTGTTGTTTGGCTGCACACTGAGCCATGGGGGTGAGTGAGTTCAGTCCAGGACCTGAAAGGGTGAGTACGGGCCATAGTCTTGGAGGTCCACTCGCCGTTGTCGAACCATAAGCCTGGTTTGTGTTTTTGTTTTGTTCAGTGATTTTGAGTTCTCCCACCTTTGTCTCTCACTCTGCCCTGATATGTCTAGGGTTCACCTTTTCAAAGCCTTTGTGATGGCAGCCAGGCACCATCTAGTGCTGCTCAGGGTCTCCTTAGAGCTTTCTGGGCTGTGATCTTGACGGAAACCGATGGCCAGGGTTTCTTCACCGGTGTGGCCGGCCATCCTGGCTCCCTGAAGATCGTGGCCAAGAAACGTGGCCAGGAAAATCCCACGGAGCAGCCCTACTCCATAGCACCTGGAGTTGGATTTTATGTATTTTTTTGGTATCAAGACTGATGCTGTGTGTTCTAAAGTCAGCTTACTGGATGGCTGCACTGAAAAATAGAAATTGGGGTAGGAAATACTAGAGTTGGTCAAATGGAGTAGGCGGTCACTAGGGTTTAAACGATGCTTTTAGTCAATGTAGATATACGAGAGTTTCCCATGGTCTTTCCGTTCCATTTTCCCACTACTTTTTGAAGCCCCCTCCTATTTGGGGGCGTATGTGAGGTGCGTGGGTGCTCTGGAGGTGCTGTGGGTCCCTGCGCGTTGCGCTGCTAACCTCAAGGTCATTAGTTTGAAAGCAGCAGCTGTTCCCCGGGAGAAAGGCGAGGCCTTTGTTCCTGTACAGAGTTACTGTCTTGTTCCACCCCCCCCCAGAGGGTCGCTGTGTGTGGGCATCAACTCATGGCAGGGAGATCGGTGTTTAGGGTGGAACGGGTCACCATGTAAAAAGCTTTTCTTCTTATTCCGGGTTCCCATCAAAACGTTTGAAACACTCCTGGTCAATGCTAATGCTATGCAAATGATCAATCCAAAATTAAAATAACCAAACTTGTTGCCATCACGCCGATTCTGACCCACCGCAACCGCTGGAGGACGGCGTAGACCTGCCCCTGTGGGCTTCCAACGTCGTCGTCTCTACAGAGCAGTCTCCTCTTTCTCCCAGGGCACGGCCAGTGGGCTCAAGCCACCGATCTCTCAGTTAGGGGCCAAGCACATCCCCAGGCTCCTCCGTGCATGGTCAGTCCTCTGTGAACTCTCAAATTGTGCCTGTGCACTATAACATGGAAGTGCGGGCTGAATAACTAGGTGTGTTTATTTTAAATTGTACACGGCCATTTCTTTAACATTGGGGAAACGCCGGTTAGCATTTACAAAGAATTTGCTTTTGGGAACGGATCCAGATTCTGCCAGAAAGGGTTACCGTCTCGGAAACCCCCAGGTGCAGGTCTACCCTGTCCTGTCGGGTCACTAGGAGTCGGCATAGATTCCGTGGCAGGTTGCAACGAGTTAGAGAGATCGGACAACCTCTAAGGCAGGGTCCTCAAACTTTTTAAACAGGGGGCCAGTTCACTGTCCCTCAGACCCATTGGAGGGTCAGACTATAGTTAAAAAAAAAAAACAACTATGAACAAATTCCTACGCACACTGCACCTATCTTATTTTGAAGTAAAAAAACAAAAGGGGGAGAAACACCCGGTGGGTCGCATAAATGTCCTCGGCGGGCCGCATGTGGCCCCCGGGCCATAGTTTGATGACCCCTGTTGGTGGGATTATTCTGACCTGGATCTTTTTTGTTGTTGTTGCTTGAAATAGTTTATTGTATTTATGTAACAAATCCTCATGGAAAATTACGGTTTGGTTTAGCTCTCTGCAACCCGTTCCTAGCTCTGAGGAAGCTTGCCTTCTTCTGAGCTACCCGATCTTTCTTCTGGGCAAGAGACATTTTGGGACGATTCCACCTCTTCTTTTTCACATCTCCCTTAGGCTTCTTCTCATAGACCGATTCTCTTGTGTAGTGGCATGTGTGTCTTGTACATCTCCTCCATCATGTCGGGAGTTACGTTGTTCTTCATGTATTGAGAACATTGTTTCTTGTAAGCATCTTCATCCTCTTCCATTAGGTAGCGCATGTAGTCTGCGATTTGACTCAGGATGTGTTTTCGATGCACCTCTGCATTGAATTCCTTGCTTTCTGAATCATCACCGGGGAATCGCTTGGTACTATGAGGGATAGACAAGCCTCTGTCCACAGTCCCCTTCAGAGCCCCACTTTATCTCCAGTGGTAGTCCTGGAAGGCCGGCATCCAGATAGCAGGGGAAGGCACCAGGTTGACCAGCGATGCTTTCCACATTGGATTCATCTCCAGTTACCTCCACTTGGCCTTCATAGATCTTGTCCATGCCAAACCTATTCAGAAGCCTGCGGGCCAGCAGCAGGCCAGTGCAATAGGCTGCAGCATAATGGGTCAGGCCAACGTTCACACCATACTTGGGAAGTTCGTGAGCATAAGCTGCACAATCATGTTCCCTTCTATACGGGCACAAGCCATCTGGCAGATGATATCCCTGTTGGTTACACGAACTATCATCCTGTATTTGGGTGTACAGTGAACCCTCGTTTATCGCAGTTAATCGGTTCTAGACCCTACCGTGATAAATGAAATTCCGCGAAGTAGGATTCCTTATTTGTAAATCAAATATTTTCGTAGTTAGAGCATAGAGGACATGAAAAAACACCCTTTAGTCACCATTACACTCGCAAACAATTACAGTACACTGTACAGAAGCAAAAATGCATCTGATACGTAGCTCCGATATGTAGCGATGCAGACAGAAGCGTGTACAGTATGAGCCAATCAGTGGCAGTCAGAGCATGCGCAGTTACGCAAAAACTGCGATAGAGTGAAGCCGCGGAAGTCGAAGCGCGAAGTGGCGAGGGTTCACAGTATTGTACTTATTTTTATCTTGGCTTACCAAGTATTTCAGTTTTACCAAGCATTACCAAGCATAATCAGTTTTTCCCTCTCGTCGTCGTCGACTAAATTTCACTTGGGATCTCTTGAAGTAGGCCTTGTTCTTGACAACGTTAACAAACCCCATCCTGGGAAAAGGGCCGCGTCCGCGGATCGCCACAGACCGGCAGGGCGAGCGGCTCTACAGGGGGTGGGGGAAAATGCCCTGACCTGGGTCTTGACGGAGGACATCAACTCAACCGGGAAGCTGGGATGTGGTCTTGGATGAGATCATGGTCGTGGGATTCTGTCGGAGGACGGCCCAGTTCGCAGGAGGGACAGAATGAAGATTTTAGTGTGTTCAAACCTACCAGCCGTGCTATAGGAGAAAGATGAGGCTCTCTGCTCCCATGACGAATGATGCCCTGGTAAACCCTACACGGGGGCCCTGGGCTCTGGAATCGACCAATGGCAGGGTGTGTGTCGACTTCCGAGTGACCCACGTGGCTGAAGGCTTGGCCATGGACCAAAAGGTGGTCCATTTAGAGGCGCCTCAAAAGAAAGGCTGCGGATTGATGTACTTCCCCCCGAAATCACCCATTGAGAAGTTGGCGATGCATAGCTCCATGCTGGCACACACCGGGGGGTCAGGTGTCTACAACCGATTCTCACGGGTCACCAACCAGAAGAGGCCCTGTGGGGGTAAACGCACAAACCTGCTAATTGGGGGGGGGGGGGCATCTGAATGCTCTGTGAGGAGGCTTCATCTTTCTCCCCTAAATCAAAATTGAGGACAATGCGCTTTGATCGCGTTCTAGAAGATCCATGTTGACGAAGTAGATTTTTCACTTGCTCATTACGTGACACGATTCCAAACGTTCTTTGGAGCACCGTTCACGTAACGTGGCCACAGACATGTGACTGATTTGACCCCTGGTATCACAGGATGCCAACACAGGATGCCAACGTGCCAACGATCACGATGGCGGCCCAGGACCAACCAGGCACCAGCGTTTCATTCTGTGGTCTCACAGGTCACCTGGGTCGTAGCCGACTCCCCAGCCGCCGCCACCACCACCGAGGACGAAGTGAAGCGGACCGAGGACGTGTGTGGGTTGTGCTGTTACAGAGAACACACGGCCACACAGCTTTCTGAAATCCACAGGCCTGCTTTTCGCCGCCTTCATAGGACATTAGGCTTCCCTGATGAGCGCTGCCACCTGCAGTGAGCATTGCACCGGCTGCAAATAGTTGTCACTGTTTCCCAAAGGCCGTGGTCCTTCCAGGGTCTTTGCCTCGCACGGAGCCCTGGACTGTCTGCACAGCCCATGGGCGCGTCACCCGGTGAGCCGGCCGGCAGGGTGTCACACGGTGTGTCCGTTCTCAGTGCTCACTTCGGGGTGACTAACAAAATCAGGGCTTTGTTTCTAGACTTTTCTTTCTCCCTTCCTCTCCCCCCACCCCTTCCCTCTTTCTTTGACTGATTCCAAAGCAGTTAACATTCACAACCTCAACTGACCCTCTCCAGAGGCCCCGAGAGGTGGCACCAATCCCCTCCTCTCCCCCCAAAAAACTCCACACCCACGGCCATTGGGTTGATTCTGAGTCACAGCACCCCCTAGAGCAGTGGTTCTCAACCTTCTTCATGCCACGACGACCCTTTCAGACAGTTCCTCATGTTGTGGTGACCCCCCATGTGGGCGTATCTGCATGTGGGTGGACCCGCCTGGAGACCGAAGAGCAGTGTCTCGTTCCCAAAGCCGTCAGAATTAGTCTTAGACGACCCCTGTGAAAGGGTCGTTCAACCCTCCAAAGGGGTCGTGACTCACAGGTTGAGAAACATTGCTCTAGAGGGTTTACTGATAGTTTGCAAATCACCAGGGGGACAGCCTCATCCTTCTACTTCAGAGCAGCTGGTAGGTTTGAACCACTGACTCTGAGGTTAGCAGAGCGCTGCCAGGGCCGCTCGGAAGTTGCACCACGGGCCACCCTCCCCAGGTTTATACTTGGGAAGGCACCCCTAGGCTGCTAAGTGAGAAGATGGAGGTTTGAGTTCAGCCAGAGGTACCATCGGAGAAAGGCCTGGCAATCCCCACCCCCCACCCCACCCCCCGCAAAAAAAAAAATCGGCATTGAGAACCCCAAGGAGCACAGTGCCACCCTGAAAACACCGGGGCACCATGAGTCAGAAGGGAGAGTGGAGTGGAGCCCAGAGGGGGATGGAGAAGCCCTGAGGTCTCAGGGTACTTACTATGCAGGCAGAGGGGCTTCCTGGCTCCAGCCCGTCCCCAGTCAAGTGTGTGTGTGTGTGTGTGTGTTTGTGTGTGACCTTCTGCCCTCTCAGGGTCTGAGTTCACGGCAGAGTGGGGGCGGGAAAAGGGGGCGATGCTAAGCCGTCCCCTCGGAATGCAGAGAGTAGGCCTGTCTTGCTCAGGGCCTGGGAAAACTTGAGGGCCATAAGCTTCCTTCTTCCAACCGTGGGATGGGCTGTGAGTTCGGGTCCCTGCGCCGCAGTTTCCACACTCCTCACCCGGGAAGACGATGTGCCAACCTGGCCGCGTGGCTGGCGGAGGATGCGTGACGGCTTGTCGAACACTCGGGACTGCCGCACAGCGGTGTCCACGCGCCAGTGGACTCACCGCCACCGAGTCCAGTCGACTCAGAGCGACCCTAGAGGGCAGGGCAGACTGCCTGCGGGCTTCCTGGACTGTAACCTTTTAAAATCATTTTGTTGGGGCTCATACAACTCTTATCACAGTCCACACATACATCAATTGTGTAAAGCACACTTATACATTCGTTGCCCTCGGACTGTAACTGGACGGAAGTAGAGTCTGGTCTTCCGCAGAGCAGCTGGTGTGGGTCGCGACCCTTTTGGGGGTCGCACAACCCTTTCGCAGGGGTCCCTCGATTCATCACAGTAGCAAAGTTACAGAGACCAAGTAGCAACGAAAACCATCTTACGGTTGGGGGTCCCCACCACCCGAGGAACTGCGTGAAAGGGTCGCGGCCTGAACACGGCTGGGAACCACGGTCTTGGCTCGGGTGGGGCAGGGGCGGTTTGGGGGCACGGATCAGCTGGCGCCGAGGTGAGCAGGGAGCCTGGGGCGACCGGGGCCGGGTGGGCGAGGCGGCAGTGCCCACGCGAGAGCGCTAACCGCTTGTCTCTCCACGTCTCCAGCAGAGGCAGCCGCTGCCCCCGCCGTGGCTCCAGGCCCTGCCCAGCCTGGACACGTATCCCCGACGCCAGCCACCACGTCCCCGGGCGAGAAGGGCGAAGCAGGCACCCCGGTGGCTGCGGGCACCTCTGCGGCCGCCATCCCCCGGCGCCACGCCCCCCTGGAGCAGTTAGTGCGCCAGGGCTCCTTCCGCGGGTTCCCTGCACTGAGCCAGAAAAACTCACCTTTCAAACGGCAGCTGAGCCTGCGGCTGAACGAGCTGCCTTCCACGCTGCAGCGCCGCACCGACTTCCAGGTGAAGGGCACAGGTGAGCCCCGAGCTCATGGGGAAGGCGCGCTGGGATCGATTCGCACTGTCTGCTCTGGGCCAGGATGCCGACGAGGTGGATCCACCGTGATTGATTGGCACTGTCGGCCACGAGCCAAAGCTAGAGCTCGGGAAGGCATCGCGATCCATTAGCAATGTCTGCCGTGCACACGTTAAAGAGGAGAGGGAGGGCAAATCATGACCGATTAGCAATGTCTGCTGTGCACACGTTAGAGGAGAGGTAGCGCAAATCATGACCGATTAGCAATGTCTGCTGTGCACACGT